AAAAAGTTGGACACAAGAAAATATTTTGTGTTCTCATATGTTGATACTAAAAAGAAAATCTATCTGAATTAGTGATTACTTGAGGCTTAGAAAGGCAAGGTGAGGAGGTATAGAGGGTGAATAATGGGTACCAAAACATAGAAGTTAGTAAACTCTAGTGTTCTATGGCACAGCACAAGAGTCTGTTATATATTTTATGAATAACTAGAAGAAAGGAAGTCAAAGGCACCGAACAACTTTCAAGCAATCCTTGATTCTGGTTTAGCCCGTTACACTATGATCTCATACAATTCTCAATCTGTTTCCTCATTTATAAAGTGGGACAATAACAGTGACAATCTCATGAAATTAATGAGGACTGAAAAATATACTATATATAAAATATTTAGTATAATGACTAGCAATTAAAGGTTTATAAATACCAAATATTATTATTTACAGATGTCTCTGCTTGATACAAAACAGTAAACACTGTGAAAACAACTCAGGATCATTGTCCACCAGAATGGCCTCTTTAAATGGTCTCTATACAAAAAGCCAATGCACCTCCCCCGCCTTCACCTACCCATCCCCACAAATGGGGACTGAACCAGGGCCTCTGCACAAGAGGCAAGCATACTGAGCTACCTCCCAAGACATTTTTACTTTATCTTGAGACAGGGTCTACACTGCCTAGACTGGCCTCAAATTTAAGATCCTCTTGCCTCAGACTCCCAAGTAGCTGTTTTATAGGCATGCACCACTATGGCTATGACGCATTCTTAAAGCAGATTATTTATTCTATATACATTTCAACTGCAATTATTTTAATATGTACTTCTGTGTTCTTATGTTCTTAAGTAAAACATTTTACAAAAAAAAATTTTTTTAATTAAAAACAAAAAATTCATGACAGAATTAAGAGTAATCAATCTTTTGTAATTATTGTTATAAAATATTAAAATAACAGAAGTCTAAAACTATACTCTCCATAATCCCATTAACTAATGAAATCAAAGCTTTCATTTGTTCACGTTATTTCCTATTCCTTATCTTTAAATTTTTTTTTTAATTTTTTATTTTTAGAGAAAGAGAGAGGGAGAGAGAATTTTTAATATTTATTTATTTTTTAGTTTTCGGCAGACACAACATCTTTGTATGTGGTGCTGAGGCTCGAACCCGGGCCGCACGCATGCCAGGCTAGCGCCCTATGGCTTGAGCCACATCCCCAGCCCATCCCCAGCCCCCTATTCCTTATCTTTATGCATGTCCAATTTTTACATATTACAGGAACATTTTATAGCCTACATTTTCATTTAACATAGTATCACAAGAATACTTTACAAAATTTTCACCCTTATACTCTTTCCGTTATCATCTCTACCCCTTGAAGATAACCAATGATAACAGCTTCACAAACATCATTCACAACTTTCTCTTAAGTCCATACATGTACTAGTATACATAGACACATACATGGTAAGGGGGAAAAAGTTTAATGTTTTTACAAAAATTTGAAGCATATTACTTATAGATATGCCATCTATTTTTTTAGCCACATCATTTATACCTTGAATTAATATAAAGGGAAATTTAAGTATTCAAAGAGACCTACTGGACTAACTAATAATATATACATTAATAAGAAAACTTTGAAAAATATAGGGATTTTTGCAACAAAATATGGCCACCAGATTTAGACCTAACATACTATTTCATCCATGCATAAATAATGACTATATACAAGCCTAAACAAATCTCAAAACCTATTTTAGAAAACAAAATCATTACTATATTTAAAAAATTCATAATACTGCAAAAATACCCTGACTTCAGTATACGTGAATGTAATATTGGCCTTCACATATAGACAGTAGAATATAAACAACCCGGTTCTCTCTGTAACAGAGTCGATTGATGGATATTAGTTCTGATCCACTCACATACTCACCTTCTTCATTTTCACAAACTGAGAGATTGGCATTCAGGTATAATCTGATTACAATCAAATCGATCTGGCCTAATTAATATCTATTGTTTAGAAAGGCCCACAAACAGGAAAAGAAAACACCATACAGGTCTACAAAAAATTTAAGGTTAAACCAACAGTTACTCTCCCATCTAAACAATCTTAGAACGATTAGAAGATCCCTTAATCTGGACCCACAGGAGAGAAAATGGTGTGAAATATTTACTGAAGACCCCAAAAGTACAAAGCAGAGAATGGGGTACCCAAACTATACAGCCTCTTCTGTAATAGGTAAACTTTTCTTACTAAAAGTCAATAAAAGCTTTGGAGTTCCTATAACATAGTGATCATAAGTACTGGAGACACAAAAAAATAGTAAAAAGGGCTCTATCCTGAAGCAGTTCACAATTTAGCAGAACCTCCAAGAATGTATTATCCCAAATGAACAAAAGTAACATAGTCCAGGGCCCAGCATAGACTCATCAATAAGCATAGATACTCAACAATTTTCTTGCAATTTATGATTATAAACATCAAAGGCAACAAGCATCATAACATAGTACCATTTCAGATTAAATAACCTAACGGTATTATCCAGGTCTATGTAGTTAGTTTGCTTTAACTGCCTCAACGCAGTCAAATTATTTAAAAACAACTTACACTACATAGTCCCACTAATCTGTTTGGCGTATACCCATGTAACTCACGTGGAGTCTCACTCACACTCACACACACACAAAATAGGGGGAAAAGCACTTGTACCATGTAAAAATATCCTGCTGAACATTCTAACTAAATACCAACAACATAATGGACTATGCATGATATTGAAGATATGAATTTCTAACACCCAAAATGAAAGCCGTAAAATGATGGGTAAACCCTATACAAGTGCTGCACACCTTACAGTGTTTGTTATTAAAAAATAACGCTTGGGGGGGGGGGGGGAGGCTGGGGTCGTGGCTCAGTGGTAGAGAACTTGCCTGAGACCTGTGAGGCACAGGGTTGGATTCTCAGCACCGCATATAAATAAATAAAGATCCACTGACAACTAAAAAATTTTTAAAAAATGCTTCAACTGCAACCAGTGTGACACCTTTAAATGTAACCTAAGAGAAAGAACATACTTAAAATCTAGTCCAGTTACCAATGTACATAGATGTTTTCTAGAACATTCTAGAACATCCTAAATGATGAATGACAAAAAATTAGTTGCGACAGGATGCAGGATCTCCCTGAATAAACATTACACACTTAAACTCATCCTATATATTTTAATTGGTAGACCATACTGCCATATGCATTGAGGATCCAGCTGAAAATTCATCACAGCTTGCAGAACAATTTAAAATTTCAAAATACATGCATTCCATACCCAATATTTATATTAAATGAACTACTCAGTCACACCATTCAGTTTAACTTGCTTTATGACTAATTACTGATTGAGAAGAATGTAACATTTTGAAAACCTAATACTATCAACATTAAATTTTAATTGCTCAAAATACAATGACATGTATTAAAATAAGACTACTGGTGAGTGGATAGATAAGACAGATGGAATAAATATGTGATAAAATAAATGTTTAGTTAAATGATGATAGCAGAATCCAGGTGATTGGGCTTTATGGATGCATCCTGAATTGGATTGTATTTTCAATTTTGCTGGAAAGATATATATTTTTCCTAATGCCTTGCTGGAAAAACTATTTGACACTTATTTGGTTATTTATTATTTAAACTTTTAAGGTAAGAAACACAGATTTAAAACACTCCTAAGTGGCATCCTGGGATGGAACCTGGGTTCAAACCTGGGTTCAAATCCCAGTTCAAAACTCTTAACTAGCAGGGCATGGTGGCACACCCCTATATTCCCAGATGCTCAGGAGGCTGAGGCAGGGCAAACACGAGTTCAAAGCCAGCCTCAGCAAAAGCAAGGCGCTAAGCAACTCAGAGAGACCCTATCTCTAAACAAAATACAAAATAGGGCTGGGGATATGGCTCAGTGGTCCAGGGCCCAAGAGTTCCATCCCTGGTAAACACCTCCTCCCCTCCCCCCAAACAAAAAAAAAAAAGGAAAGGACATTTTAAATAAAGATTAAGTAGCATTTTTCTTTTTAAAAAAAAAAAAAACCAGGTTGGCTTAACACTAATTGATGATTTTCAGACCATTCCCAAAAGGAAGATTCCTGATGGGAAACTTACTTAACATGTTGGGGGGTGGGAAGTAATTTAAAAGAAATATCTGAAAAATATTACTCAATTGATACTATTGTTCTCCATCTGAAGAAAACCACTCAGAATCAAATAAGAAAAGTTTCAAGGCAAACTTTAAAAGGCATTCAACAACTCCTATGTAGAATTAGCTTCACCTATGCAGGCTGGTTGGGGACATCCTTGATATGACTAAACTTGTCATACTCTTCCACGTTCCTAATTTCAGGGAAATGAAGATAGATGAGGACACAACATGTGCAAGTGCCAAAATCTTTCTCCTAAATCAGAATAGGCAAGGATCCCACTTCTTCACAGGTAAGAGTGCCACCTCCACTTTGGTCTTGATAACGGTTAAGAGGGGGAGGGGAAAGGAGGCAGAAAATGAATTCGCGATGGTGTTCCTGAAAACCCTCCTGGTTGTTGCTCACGAGACCCCCTCCACGACTTATTCCCGCCACCACTACCCCCACCTGACCTCTCCCCAGTGAAACTTCCATGGACTTTCATTCACTGAAGATGTGGTCGACGTTCTGACCCCTTCCCTCCCTGGGCCCCCAAAACACACTCACCCGCCCCCCTTGCTGGGGGCGGGGGGCGACGCAAACAACCGCCCCCGCCCCTCCCCCCAGCAACCAATCTTTGTCCCACCTGCAGAAGGAGCGCTCGCCGACGCGCTCCAGCCCCGAGGTGATCGCGGACCTGCCCGCGACCTCCCCGCACCGCGGGCGTCGGCGCCCCCTGCTCCAGCGCCGGCTTGGCCCTCCGCCCGCCGCGGCCCCGGCCCGGCCGCGCCCCGCCCCCCGCCGCCCGACTTCTGCCTCACCTCACCTACCCTCTTTCGGGGGCCGGACTCCACCTCTCTTTCCGCCATGTTGGGCCCCGCTCGGAACCGCTGCGGCTCCCGGCGCGGCGGCGGCACCGCTCGGCCCCCCGGCCCCCGCCCACACTGCAGACACGGCCGCCGCGCGGCGGCTTCCCGGACCCGGCCGGGCCTGGCGCGCGAGTGAGGAGGGGGCGGATGCCGCGCACGGAGCCACAGATCCCGGGGTCCCACGGGTGTGCGCGTGGGCGGGAGGGCCTGCCCGGGTCAGGGGGGGCCGGGACTCGGGGGGTTAATGGCCTCCAAGGGGCCCCGTGAGTAGGATTATTTTCTCTCAGAGAAATTCCTCCGCCTGCGGTTTCTTAAAGGGATCACCAAACCAGCCCCTTGCGCGCGCCCCTGATGCGCAGGCGCACCATAAGCCCCTCCTCCCTTTCCCACCAAGCCCCCGGTCCTGAGCGTGCGCGGTGAGTGGCCCAGGGTAGGCCAAATCCTGCAAGTCTCTTTGCTGCCAGCAGCTGCTCCCACCACTCAACTATGGCCGCTCCCTTAAAGGGACCATGACGTAGTGATGAAGAAAGAATGAAAGAAATCAATGAAAGGACAATCTGGAGGACTGGGTGAAATGTCATTGAGGGGTCCACATCACCATCTTACACCTGACTACAGAGCTGCTGTTGAAAAGACAAAATGTTGATGAGCTGAAGTTCTCAGTGGACCTCTAAGCTTGAAGAACCCCAACCAGTAAGGGTACAAGACAGTCATCTCAAGAAAAATTGGCTTCCCTACCTGTTGACAGCCTGATTGAAGCACAAGGCAAGGAATATCAAGGACCAACTTCAATAGCCTAACCTCAAAATCAAATCCTTTAGTGATTTTGAAGACTAACAAACAACTGGAGATAATTTCCTCAATTACTATTATGTAGTGTCTACCACTACAATATCAAAATGGGAACGAACGGAACCATCTATTCCAGGCTCTCAATGGTAACACTGAAATATGATCATGGGAAGAATTACCCCAAGATACATAGTGGCTCATGTGGAACTAGAATCAAAATATGAGTCACAGTCCTTTAGGATTTTCAAGGAACCAACCTGTCTTCAAAGCAAGAGAGATCATTTAAAAGGAAAGTATCATAATAATTCAAGAATATTTTAGTTATTCTGGGAATAAGTGTGATGATTTGCAGCTGTTGTTCATCCCCATTCATCTCCATTTGAGATAAGAATTTGGGGTAGAAACAAGAAAGATACCAAGTCTCAAAGGAAGCACCCATGAACCATTGAAATGCAAAAAGCACCCATGAACCTTTGCAATTCCTGAGCAACTGAGCCAGCACTCTTGACCCTTGTCCTCCATTTCAGAAAGTGACATGAGAGGACAATGCACAAGTGCAAGGAAAATAGCCAGAAATTGCCTAAATCCACGGTGACTCCACCTCTAGGCCAGCCCATATCAACTTTTCCTCCATAAATATTAATACCCCACACCATAGGTTGCTGCTTCTCATTTGAAATAACCCACCTTCTCCTTTGGATGTGCCTGTGCTTTTCTAAATAAATTTCTGTGTATGCCTCTGACTGCTGTGTGCTCAAATTCTTTTCCATCAGGTGTGCCAAGAACCCTGCTCGTCCTGAGTTGAGCTCCCCCTTCTCTCCAGCCTCTGACCCTTGAGAGACATCTCTTCTCCCATGGCACATTGAAGGAACTTGAGAATCTCACTTAAAGGATGAGCATCTTACTATTGTCTAAGCAGGAAAACAGGGAGTAGATTTGGGTCTATCTTGCCCTGAACCTAAGCTGGATCCTATATGAGGACGCCCGAGGACAACAAGGGTTTGATTCATCCTTCTGTTCCTTCTAGTCCACTGAGTCTTTGGTGGAGAAAAATTTCCCTAATGGCATTCTTAATAATAGCTTAGGGACAATGGGGAAATACTGTAAGAAGTGCAGAGTTGCCTCTTCAAGTCGTTCCCCATGACAAGACACATTAAAATGGAAATGAGCAACTCCTGAATTCACGGGGTATTGAGATGTGACATCCATATGTCACTTTGACTTTTGTGCATCACTTGGGAGGTGTTTTGAACCCAAAAAGTTTGCTAATCTATCATGTTTTGCTGAAAACTCTGGAAATGTCCATTCTGGTCCTTTCTTAGGTTTGTTCATTTTTAATTTCACTCCTGGGTAGGAGAAAGAAGGTGGAAGGGAAATAAATAAATACAGACAGACAGATTGATATTCATTTCAGCCAGAATTTTTTAAAAATGTTAGACCCTTTAGTTCTGTGTCCTGAACAAGAAGGAAATAAAAAGAGAAGCCAAGAAAAGATAATTTCAGGTGACTATAGGTACATAAAAGATCTAGTGGCTTTCACCTGTTTTATAAACAATGGAATATTTGTTTGTAATAAAATCTAGCTGCTTAAAGTAGAGCTGCCCAATTTAAATTGGAAGTGGGTGCCCACAAGACTGACTGTTCCTAAGCCTTAGACTCGTCTTCTGCTGCTTCTTTCAGTTCCATCCTCTCATTAGAAAAATGTTGGGTTTCTCAGAATACAGTTTAGAGCCATTAATTTAGGCCAGTTCCACTTTCTTTTTTTTTTTCCCCATGGGCTGGGCATCAAACCCAGGGTCTTACACATACTTAGCCAGCACTCTACCATTGAGCTACAACCCCAGACCAATTGGGCATTTTAAAGATGAAACATGGGACCAGAGAAGTTGTGACTTGTTGGAGATCACACAAAGAATTAGTAACAGCATCAGGACTGGAACAGACACCTAGACCCTCAGCCTAAGGTTCTCTCCTACATCAGGCTGTTTCTAGAGGTATTAGAAATGTGTTGGGGGGGCTGGGGATGTGGCTCAAGTGGTAGCACGCTTGCCTGGCATGCCTGCGGCCCGGGTTTGATCCTCAGCACCACATACAAACAAAGATGTTGTGTCCGCCAAATAAATATTAAAAATTCTCTCTCTCTCTCTCTCTCTCTCTCTCTCTCTCTCTCTCTCAAAAAAAAAAAAAAAAAAGCCTTATAAAAAAAAAAAAATGTGTTGGGTCTTGAATAATAGGCAGGGTTTGTGCATTCCAGATAAGAATCAAACATACCAGGAGTGTTTGATGCAATCATTCATGTGGAGGGAGGAAAAAAGAGGAAAAACAATATTTAGTGAGCACTATGAATTTAATCATAATTTTACAGAGGGATCCATAGAGATTAAGGGATTGGTCCAAGGTTGTTAAGCAGAAAGATTGAGACAGAATTCAAAGACTTGTTCTTCTTGGATTTTAAATATCATTAACAAAAGATTGCAAACTAGTGACCTTGTAATCAAATCTGTCCCACAAATATATATTTGACATATATTGTATATAGCTACATGACCTTGGTCAAGTTACTTGTTTGCAATTTGGTTTCCTCATCTGAAAATGAGTTATTGGGATGATTAAATAAGTTAACATCTGTTAATCTCTTAGAACACTTTTGGTTCCTAGCACGATATATGAGTGTTACAACTTTTGTCTTTTTAAAAAATTGTTTAATTATATGCCAGCATTTAAAATGAGGTAATTCGCTTATGAGTCCAGGTTTTTTTTTTTTTTACTTCTCTAATAAATAAACTAGAATACAATGGGGGTAAAAATTTGCAAGTACCAAACTGATTCATTTTAATTCTCTTAAGTCAAATTCCATTATAGACTCTTTTCTGAAGTATGGCTCTAGAATTTATTTTCATACTCAGAAGAGAATACAATAGGCTTAATGTAGTGAAAAAGAATTTGCTAAATTTCCTTGGTTCCATTTAACCTATGAAGTTCAGCAAATAGTAAGAGTCTGAGAGTTCTCCCACATTCCAGAGGACATACTTCTTCCATCTAGGACAGCCCAGCCATGAGGCTTTGACATCCAGAAATAAAAGCCTTATTCTTTTCATTAAATAATAGAAGGAAGAAAAAGGAAGCAAGAAGTAAGAGCGGTATCAACTGAGTGACAAGTGTCCCTGTCTTCCCAGCTCTTCAAAGCAAAAAGGACTCTTGTCTGCTTCTGTTTGGGATTCTAACTAGAAATGGCTTGCAGACCACACCCACAGCAGCAATCAGCCAGCTACATCTGAGTGAAAGTGATGCCCCAGAGTAATTGGGTAAAGAGAAAAGGGATCTATTTGACTCCTCTCAATGTCTTTTAGCCAAGGATAAATCCAGGTTTCACAGGTCTCAAAGTTTATGTGATAGGGACAGAAAGAGTTTGTTTTGTTTTGTTTTTAAGAAAAAGAACACAAAAATACACATACAAATTAAATACAGAGGGGCTGGGGATGTGGCTCAAGCGGTAGCGCGCTCGCCTGGCATGCGTGCGGCCTGGGTTCGATCCTCAGCACCACATACAAAGATGTTGTGTCCGCCAAAAAAAACTTAAAATATTAAAAATTCTCTCTCTCTCACTCTCTCTCTCTCTCTCTCTAAAAAAAAAAAAATTTAAAAAAATTAAATACAGAATCGTAAGCCTTAGCTTAGCAACCCTTAGCTCTTGTGTAATATAGACTGGATCCAGAAGTTCCCCCATAGCCTGTGGAAGAATAAATAAAAGGATAGCCAAGAATACTTCTGACAGGTATGAAAGTGGCTCTGTAGATGACACTGGTCTGGAAACAAAAAGTAGTAACAGTCAGACCTCAGGAAGACCTGTACTGTTGCCTCCACATTCTAAGCAAGCTCAGATAGGGCAGGCTACAAGATCCTCCACTCTGACCAACAGGTTGCAGAGCATCTTGAGAAGAAAGGGAATGGTACAGGAATATCAAATGGATCCCAGGTCTCATGCTTCTTCATCCATATACACAGATACCACACACGCACAGAGGTAAAGGGCAGCTTTCAATAAAGACTGGGTGTTTCTTTCCAAAGGAGGGTATTACATAAAATAATTCTAACCGTCAAGTTCAAATATATTTTAAAGCAAATTGGATATATTAGGTAAACTCAAATAATGTTAAGAAGAAAGTAAAGCAGAATGCTGGTATGAAGCTTACTTTAGGTATGGTAATCATATCTAATAATCAGAGAATATTGTTCTGAGGAGGTGACCTTTGAGCTGAATCTTAAAAAATGTCGAAGAACCAGCTATGCAGAATCAGGCAAGCCTGTAAGCCCAGCTACTTGGGAGGCTGAGATAGGAGGATAGCAAATTCAAGGCCAGCCTCAGCAACTTAGATCCCGTCTCAAAATTTTAAAATTACAAGCTTACATCACCCCACATGGCCATCATAAGTATTTTTAAATTTTACCTTGTGAAAAGCCATTGGAGACCTCAAAAAAAATTTACATGCCCTCTGGATACCATATGCAGAATGAGTTACAAGGGAGCAAAGGTAGACATAAGTTA